GAGCCCCAGTCAAGACCGGATAAGTCTGCCCTCATCTGATTGAAATCGCCCCGCCAAACATTACGCCTTTTGTGGCCTGGAGTGTGTGAAATGGAGAATAACGAATAATCCCACATAAGCACTACGTGGTCACTTCGGCCAAGGGGCGGCTTGGAGGCGATCTCGTCTATGCTGTCTGGTGTTTTCGTAAAGACCAGATCCAGGCAGTTTGCCCTTTGTCCTTCACGTGTTCTCGTTGGGAACATTACATGTTGTGTGAGGCACGCATTTAATGTCTTGCTCAACAGGCGGTAATCGAATGCCGATTTTGACCTGATGCTTGGAGGGTATTCCAGTTTGTTCCTGGTGCGTTGAAGTCGCCCATGATCATGATGTTAGGTCGACTGAAAAATTTCTCCAACTGCTCCAATAGTTGAGTGTCGGCGATTCGGTCTGTCCTAGGTGGTCGGTAGACAGTGAGGACATCGAGACACGGGGAACCGATAGCCTTGATGGTCAACCAGATAGCTTCCGTACTGCACACAAACTTGGTGGTGTTATCCGACACTGCCAGACCGTCATTCACATACACAACGATACCACCACCCTGACGATGTTCCCTGTCCCTCCGATAAATTTGGTATCCAGGCAAAGCTACTTCGTTATCGCTAATATTCTCGGACAGCCAGGTCTCAGTTACTGCTAAAACATCTGGAGACAGCTCGGCAAGGCAAAGTGTTAGTTCGTCTAGTTTCGATAGGAGGCTTTGGGCATTCGTGTACAAGCACCTCAGTTTAGCACCAGCCGAATTTCCCGTTGCATTTGTTACTGCTGTGAGCATTACTCCCTTATCGCGGACGTCGTGTTCTCTAGGCTCCTCCGTTACCTGATTGGTTCCATTTACATGCCTTGTTTCAGTCAGATCACTGGACGCTACGGGCTCACTTGTGTTGGCGCCTTGATCAGGTGGTTCAACGAAGGTGTCTGTTTTAGCTGAGTAGCTGTCGTCGTTCGTAGTATTACAGGCTGGTTCCACTGAAACGGCATATATTTCCGAACTACCTTCCCCTTGAAGATAGCCAGATTGTGTTCGCCATCCTTCAGTCTTGATTTTAACTCCAAGACAAGTTCCCGGCGTTTCAACCGTTCCGCTGGTGAATAGTCCGGTTGAAAAAAACCTGTTTGTGTGTGTTTCTGAGATCGATTTTTTTAGAGAGGATAAACTTGATTTGCTCTTTGTTCTCCAGCATAATTTTGAGAGGGCCAGGTGGTTGTGCTACTGTCCTGTCTTCACTCCTTTTTCCTATCCGGAATGCTTTCAGAACCTTTATTTCCATTTCTGCCGGCAGTAAATGATTTAGCAGACCATGAAAAGAGGCAAGGTCCTCTGAGACACGGTCTTCAGGTCTGGCTGCATTCGATTCTGACAAACCCTGAATAACCAGACACTGCTTGCGAGCATGGTCCTCCTTACTCTGTCTTTCCGGTGAATGCGCTGCATGTGGGCGAGGACGATTTACGGAGTCATCGCTTGGACGCACACTTTTACTGTCTACCGACTGTCCCGAGCAACCCATCAGGGCTGGCTGGGACTTCAGAATCCTGTCATGGCGTTTCCCTCTCCCCTCTACCCACTGGTTTATGTCTTCACATTCAGATACGTGCTCTGTAGTGCGCTCGGGGTGGTTGCCAGAGCAAGAGGGCAACAGTAGACTGGATGACCCAGGTATATCGTCTCCAGGCAGAACAGAAATCCCATCACTTACAGCAAGAGGCTTAGGTGACATGGATTCCGCGATAGGTAATTTTTTTGCGACATCGTGCGTGGGAATCGAGTCTCCCTTTATCGGCGGCTTCATTTTCATTGTCCTGTTGTTACCGGCGTCTGCGGTTTTGGCTGTTGTGTTGCTACTCGTGTTTGAAGATTCCCCCGAGGAGATGTTTTTTCGCGTTTTTTGCGTTTTGCTCTTCGTTTTTGGGATTCTAACACTGGACACGTTCTGGTCGACTACGGTCTGTTGCACGAGCGTACTTAAATCAGCAAGCTCCTTTTCCAGTTGTTCTACTTTGATTTGAATATCTGCGCACCCACCACAAGGCTCGTCTTCGTACCTCACACTTTTTGCGGTATTTACGCTTTTTGCACGCTTTGCTGGTCGTTGGCTGGAGGCGAAGGTAGAGCGAGCACAGGGTCTGGATGCGAAGGACAACTCACCGGACTTATCTTCCAAAGAGGTGCCGTCGCTGGCCGTACTACTACAGTTAGCCTGCTGAGAATCCATAAACTTCGACGTGATATAATAGGTATAATTCCGCTTTCGATGTTATAACGAATACGTCCGCTTATATATGATGAATTAAAGTGAGTATTCAAAACTCAATAAACGAAAAAATACTTAAAATCCGATAACTTTTGTTGAATTTAATCAGAAGCGACTTAGCCCTTTCCAGATCTCGTGGGACTTGAATAACTGCAGACCTTGAAGGATTTTGAGCGATTGGTTTTCTAGGCTGTATACCGTGAATCGGTTGCGTAGCCAGTTGCGTTGTCAGTTGGACCGTGCTGATAAACAAATTGCACTTAATCCAGCTTCCGGGCGAATTTCGATGCGTGAAAAAATATTCCAAAAATGCACAAAGTTAGTCTGTACGTACGGTTCCAGTATCAATGTCAGAGACTGTAACTGTGGGATGGTATCCAAGTCGAAATTGTCCCAGTTGGAGCGCAGAATAATTCCGTCGTGCTCAGTTGGGCTCAGACCGAAGATGGCAAAGTCGGAAGGCGGAATTGTGGAAGGACGATTTATTGAATACGTAAGTAAAAAAATGTAAATGTACAAAGTCTGTCTTGGATCATAGGGGTTTCAGCGATCTTCGTGTCCAGGATGAGAAGTCACTTTCACTGGCCATAAAAAAACTTTCGTAAGACATACGTAATACAGGCGCAACGGAAGTAATGATACACTGTATTCAATACGTACGATTTAAATAGTAAAAATCCCATGAAGTAAATAGCATGCTGTGTAGGATTGGCAATTCGATAAATTTGCTTACCGGTTCTTTGGTGGGGGATAATTGTGGGCATGTGGCGGCAGGTATGGTGATTTCTGAAGTCTAAATAAATGTGGATAAAAATCCCTAAAGTTTGTACATGACGAATGTTCCGCCGACGTGTCGATCTTCCTCCGTACCGGTCCTGTGATCCATGAAACCACCTGATTGCTGTCCGTCGAAATATCTCTATAGTGCAGTTGCCAAAACGGGGAT